ATCTGTTCAGGACAGACCACGAAAACTTCATCTACTTCCAGGATCGGGTGGGCGACACTTTTAGGTGAAAAATGGCATTAGAATTGTTGTTCTATAGGGCTAGGAATCGATTCCAAAAAGAAATATAGCTGCAAGCAGCAATTACGGGGCCAAGCACTACAGAAGCAAGCATCAGACCAACTGAAGCAATGAGTAATTAAAAACATTTTAAGATGATTTTAGTCAAAATGGCTGAAAAATCATAAATACAACCACTAGTAATATTATTTATTGGCTTACCACTTTTGACCAATAGGTGGCGCTGTAATCAAATATATGTGGTGTGTTCTGTGTGAGGTGACAATGGAACACACACAGTTTGGTGTCGATATGTCAAAGCTTTGCAGAGATACAGCCTCAGAGTCATTTTGGCATCAAGCCTCAAATTTGTAGCAGCGCTATACAAAAAAGTTTTTGTCTATCGACACGAAATCCATAAATTTTTGCCAGCATGGTCTGAAGATGATCTGGGTCAAATTTGGTGAAAATCAGATGAATGGTCTAGGAGGAGTTCAAAAAAGTAGGTTTTCAACATAAATCAAAATGGCGGACAGGAAGTTCGGCCGACTATGGCATAATTGGTAACCATGTTGTCGGCATGACACAAGGAATATTTTGAGACCAATTTCATTATAATAGGCTAATGCAATAAAAAATGATTAGCATTTTTGGAAATTTCATAATTAATGGTTAATGAATGGTTTACTACTCTTGACCAATAGGTGGCGCTGTTACCAACATGATGTGGCCTGGTCAGTGAGAGGTGACAATGGCACATACAAAGTTTGGTGTAAATATGTCAAAGCTTTGCAGAGATACAGCCTCAGAGTCATTTTGGCATCAAGCCTCAAATTTGTAGCAGCGCTATACAAAAAAGTTTTTGTCTATCGACACGAAATCCATAAATTTTTGCCAGCATGGTCTGAAGATGATCTGGGTCAAATTTGGTGAAAATCAGATGAATGGTCTAGGAGGAGTTCAAAAAAGTAGGTTTTCAACATAAATCAAAATGGCGGACAGGAAGTTCGGCCGACTATGGCATAATTGGTAACCATGTTGTCGGCATGACACAAGGAATATTTTGAGACCAATTTCATTATAATAGGCTAATGCAATAAAAAATTATTAGCATTTTTGGAAATTTCATAATGGTTAATGAATGGTTTACTACTCTTGACCAATAGGTGGCGCTGTTACCAACATGATGTGGCCTGGTCAGTGAGAGGTGACAATGGCACATACAAAGTTTGGTGTAAATATGTCAAAGCTTTGCAGAGATACAGCCTCAGATGCAGTTTGGCATCTTTCCAGTCAATTCGTTGATGCGCTAAACGAGAACCGCTTTGTATATCGACACGAAATCCATAACTTTTTGCCAGCTTGGTCTGAAGATGATCGATACGCCAAACCTTTGCGGAGATATACTCTCACATCCATTTTTGCGTGCTCTTCGTAGAATTCGTTCGTGCTTTATTCGAGAACGGTTTGATGAATCAACTTGAATTCCATTACCTTTTGCCAGCATGGTCTGGAGATGATTTGAGCCAATTTTGGTGAAAATCAGACTAACTGTCTAGGACGAGTTCGAAAAAGTAGGTTTTTAAAACCATTAAAATTAGTGAAAAAGCTAAACCTTACAATTTTTACATTTCGGAGTTCATTCAAAACGGCATGAGCCAAGGAATAAGAGGAAAAAAGAATTTTCCTTCTGTGCCTTACGGTTCAAAAGTTATTAGCACAAACATGAGTGAAACTTTGGACAAGTGGTGGCGCTAGAGAGTTTGAGTTAGAGACTCCAAATTAGCTATGGTAAATGTTGAGACTGTCCTCTATCAGTGTGCCAAATTGTATAACTTTCCTGCAAAAGTGGGCAGCCATAGACTTCCAGAGTGGAAGAATAAGAAGAAGAAGAAATCTAACGGATACATTAGGTGCCATCGCACCTTCGGTGCTTGGCCCCAAATTAATTTTAAGGCATTGGGAATCAAGAATCGATTTCAAAGGTTGCCTTGTTCTAGGAGTCTAATAATCACTGAATACTGTAAGGATAAATACAATAAGGATGTTAGCCTTTACAGTATATCTATCTGAACATGTTCTTCTGTTTAAAAAGAAAGATTTGAAAACCACAGTGAAGAGTTGATCCCAGAACCAGGAATCAGAATTTTGGAATTTCTTGTTCTACTTAAAAGCAGAAGTTACAGCTTTAATATTACATTCAAATAGAAGAATCTTAAATAACTGCATGGTCCTCTTCATCTCAGGTGGAAAGGGGAAAACGTTTCCACAAATGAAGTGTCTGACATCTTGACTATGCCAACGAGTATCGAGGAAGCAAATGTATACGGCGTTACAGTTCAAGGTTTAATGCTACTTCACTCCTTTTAGAATAGTTCACGCAGAAATTTCAATTTGCTGAAAATGTACTCATCCTCAGACCATTCAAGATGTAGATGAGTTTGATTCTTCATGGGAACAGATTTGAAGAAATGTATCATTACATCATTTGCTCACCAGTGGATCCTCTGCAGTGAATGGGTGCCGTCAGAACGAGAGTCCAAACAGCTGATAAAAACATCACAGTAATCCACACCATTCCAGTCCACCAGTTAACGTGTGATGTGAAAAGCTGTTTTTTGGTTGATTGGTGAACAAGTGATGCAATACTACATTTCTCAAAATCTGTTTCAATGAAGAAACAAACTCATCCACATCTTGAATGGCCTTGGGGTGAGTACATTTTCAGCACATTTTCATTTTTGAGTGAACTATTCACTTGACATTCACACCACTAGTTAATATTTCTTCCAAACCCATTAGTGACCCTTGATCTTTTATTGAATTTGAAGGGTATGAGGGGAGGACAGGAATGGCTACCATCACACTGAAGAAAGACCATCAGTTTGAGCCCGATGCCATTTTTAGTCACGTGACCACTTACCTCCCCTCTTACGCCAGACCTCGTTTTATAAGGATCCAGGTAACTTCACAATGCTCTTTCTGAATACATGATCCCTTTGTCAGTGCATTTATGTACTCTTTCATGTCTCTCAAATAAGTCAAAGGATTTCTGATTGCAGGACTGTTTGGCTGTGACTTGCACTTTCAAACAGCTGAAAGGGAAGCTGGTAGAGGAGGGCTTCAACCCTGCTGTAATCACCGACCCTCTGTTTGTTTTACATGAGACGGTGAAAAGCTACAGACCTCTGACACGTGACACATATCAGTCGATATTGGATGGTCATTTCAGATTGTGAAGAGCAGGATGTTCTTTAAGTTATCATTTTTAATTAAAAAAAAAAATCTAATCTTTTATTTGTTCAGACTCCCAACTCTAAATTTATAAAATGATTTAAAAATAATTGGACAATAACTGTCCAGAGATCACAATCAACACACAAAAATGCAATTATTATAATTTTGTCTGTACTATAAATTTAACAAATGTATTGGTGTAAATAATTATTTTGCTTATTGTGCATATTTCAAAAGATTAAAGACAAGTTTATTTATCACACTAGTATATGACAACATTGTTTAAAAAGATAATAAAACAGTTTAAAAAGTTCTTCATTGTCAATCACAAAAGAGGCTTTCTGCAGTGAACAAATAGTTTCGTAAGAGTTTGCTGTAAGATGACTGGCTCCCACAGAAACCCTCCCACTGGCTCATGTCTCAAAGGCTGAATTGAATGAAGGTTGCCATGTTGTGAGTTTAAAATACTCATGCACGAAACCTTTTTTTTTTTTTTGTTATTTGTAATTTAAGTGGAAAATGTAATTCCAAAAATATAAATAAATTAAATTAAATTCATTTTAAAAAAGTGAACGTTGTGCCATTTTAAATGTAATTATTAGTATTTATTTTGTTTAATATGAATAGTTGGAGAGTGTTTGATCATGGAATATTGAAATTCATAAACTCTCCATGAATTTGCCACAGAAGTTGTTTAAATCATTATTTGAAGTCTTTAAATAATTTAAATATCAGCCCACATAATAAGTTTCTATAATATAATGACCTACTTAATATGCAATTATTTATGGCGTTTTTCCACTGCATGGTCGTTGATAGCAGAGGAACGGATCCAGCGAGAGCTTGATGGGGCGATGCGGAATGAAAATTTTTTTTTTAGGAGTCGTGGTAGTAGAGGCGGCGCAACTATAACGACATGTGAATAATCCCGCCCACTCTAAAGCGGTACTGAACTGCAGTGGAAACGCAAACCGTGCCGAACTGAGCCGTACCACGCAGTGGAAAAGTGCCATTAGTGCCACTGCATGAAATTAAACACCAAAACACAATAAAGATTTCCTCTGTGCTTAACTACTGTAAACTGGGGAGCTTAAAATAGAAAAAATAATCATGCGAATGCAGCATTATATTTGTTACTCCAGAGAAAAATTCTTTAAAGTTTAATTTTGTGTACAACAATGGCAAACAAAATTATCAAATGTAAAATCTTTGCTTGGAAGAAATAACTCTTAATAGACATTTACCAGATGTGACATGAAAATATTCTAGCAACAAGCAATTTGTACCAAAAAACGGCAAAATTACGAAGAATGTCTGCAGCAACTAATTTCGTAATTTTGTGTACAACCGTGGCAAACTAAATTAATACATTTTTAATTTTCTTGTCAAAACGGTTGACAGCAAATCTAAAATCTTTGCTTGGAAGAATTACTCTTAATAGATACTTACCAGATGTGACATTAAAATATTCTAGCAACAAGCAATTTGTACAAAAGAAAAATTACAAAGAATGTCTGCAGCAACAAATTCAGCATAATTTCCTTTAAAAATGTGCGTTACCAAAAACTTAACCACAAATCACAGTTAATTATCTGAATGTATTGCGAGACCTGGTTTCTCATATTAAAAACGTGTGGAAACAAGGCACCGATTTAATGAAGGATCTGGCAACCCGATGAGACTATAGTCGGGGTGGATCAGAATGATATAATCGCTCTCTGGAGCCCCAAAAAGGCTGAACTTGCATTTCGAGAATGTGGCCCATGAATTTTAAGACCGTGGAAGTGGTGTCAGGCTATGGCATATAGTTAATCTCAAAACCCTAGTGTTGTCCAATCTCTGGTAAACATGTATGTGTGGATCACTCTTCTCGCGGGCTTGGCTCTTCTCCTCGCGCTGCTGAAAACGTTCTCCACATACTTTTTCCAGGACTGCGTGTATATGTACAGGGCTCTTGGATTTGGGATCCGATTAAATGTATACAAAAGGAAAACTCCATTCTATAGTATTGTGGACTGCTTTTTGGAGGCGGTGAAGAAACACCCGCGAAAAGCGTTTATTCATTTCGAGGGGAAGACTTACTCTTATGAGGAGGTGGATAAGGAGAGTAACAAAGTAGCGAATGCGCTGCGCTCGGAGGCTGGGCTCAGAGAAGGGGACTCGGTCGCGCTGTTCCTGGGGAACGAGCCCCGTTTCGTGTGGACCTGGCTCGGCCTGGCTAAGCTCGGCTGTCCCGCAGCACTCCTGAACTTCAACATCAGATCCAAATCACTCCTTCACTGCTTCTCCTGCTGCGGCGCGAAAGTGCTCATAGCAGCTGCTGGTGAGATTTATGTAGGCTACTGTCACTAGAGATACTATACATGGATGAAGGGGCTACTATAGCATCGGAATGTCATGTTGTGAGGCCTTTGCACTCATTCCCAACCTTTTTCTAAATGCGTGCATGCTTTTGAGAAATACTTGGCTTTCTTAAACATATAAAACAGAAATTATGACTTTTAAAAAGATTAGAACTGTCAAAAAATAATTACTTGCGCAATAAAGCAGATGTTGTGTTATATTACAATTATAGTCACAATAAAAAGGGGCGTTGTTAGGTCCTGCGTGCTAATTACTGACTATATTTGTTACATCTAGCAGGGTTTCAGCTATATTATTTCTTACATAAAATGTTAATATATATATTTAAAAAAATTAAGGGTTAAAATACAAAAGTGTAATAATAAAGTATTTTATTTAGTAAACTGATTAACTGGCATCTTTTTGCTACAAGATATCGGGTTCCTGCGCGCAGTGATATTATTATGACTAGGTGTTTTGCATAATTGTTGATTTTCGTGCCACTGGAATGCTGTATTGACCAATCAGAAGGCAGAACTGGAACTTTCAGGCAGGTTTTAACCTTTACAAAAATAACCAAATAAATCAATTGTAATAAGGAAACTGGTCCATTAGCCTATTCATCTTATTTACACGTGGCGCTGCTTCCAGTTCTTTTAGCTGTACAAAAACCGTCCGTTATGCTGATTGATGTTGCAAAGGTATTTGCAAACGATCGTAATCTTTTAAATGTAATAATGTTTAACAATACTTTAGTAATAAATTCAATATAATCACAAAAAGATAGGGATGTAACGGTATCAAAATCTCACGATACGATAATATCTCAATTAGTGCTGTCAAACTATTAATCGCGATTAATCGCATCCAAAATAAGTTTTTATTTACATAATATATGTGTATTGTGTATATTTATTATGTATATATAAATACACACACATACAGCATATATT